GGTAGGGAAAGCTAACACTCTACAGCTGCTTAAAACTCTACAAGAAATACATTTCCATCATAATCTGTAAATTTTATAACTTAGTATGACTAAAGGGAAAGTGCTCTGTGACTGGGGTACCCCTTCTTTTTCTGGAGGTGACACGATGCCCTAGACCCAGCAACACTGAAACACAAAACTATCTTCAGGCATCCTGAGTGGAAGGTGTTCAGCACAGGAGCACAACCAAAACTAATGGCACTGCTGTTTCTGAAAGTACTTTGACATTTGCAGGCAACTGCAGTCTAATGAACTGAGCTAATGGGAACAGGGAGAACTGTCCAGTTTTTTCTTTTGCACATGATAAGGGCTCACTGTTTAGAAGTGATAACTGGTGCCTTCTTGTAGCAGCTCTGCACTGCACTGACACCACATCAGGATCAAATGGTGTACTTACTCATATGTAAGCAATGGAACATCACTCTTGCCTTCTCTGGTTGTGACAACATCACGTTTGATGCCAAACACTTTTCCACAACTGTCTTTGGCCAGAAGATCAAAAATTTCGTTATTATACACTTCTACAATAGAAACCTCAACCCAGTAACTTCCTAGTGGCTTTTCTGAAAGAAGCCTGGAGAATAAAAATAGAAAAAAAAGAAAATAAAAAACCCCAAAAATGTAGAAGTCAAACCCCAAATGAACAATCTGTAAATAAAGATCTATTCTTTAATTGTAATCTAATTACAATCTGATAAAAGTGCTTATTAAATATCCACATTTGTGGCTTTGCCTCATCCACATGCTAATGTTAAGCTGAAGAATCAGACCATATAGTTAAATTATTTGTGGAGCAGTAAATGAAACTTAATTTCCCAAACAGCTATGCCAGCTTAAATCGTTTTTCTCCACTAGCCTCCCTGCCTCCTCAGGATTTTTTTTTATACCATTTCTCTGCTGGATGTTACTGGATTTGGAGCTCAAGTCTTGACAAACTCTGGCAGTGTGCCAGCACTGAACAGGCAGAGATGGTAACCAGCTCAGAAAAATTCATAAATTAAGAAGCTTGCCCATTCATGAGAGTATTTACAGTTAGACACAGTTATTCTGGTACAACATTGGATCTTTTTTGATTTAGTTTATACTGTTCTTCAAAAGAAATAGGCTTAGCTGGAATAATCTCTACTGGCTCTTCTATTGTAACATGGCAGTGTATGGGTTCAAATCATGCATTAGGCTCAACTGAAAAATCTCAGAATTCTCAAAGCAAGAACAGATGATAGAGATTCTACTATCACTCTTCTCTGGGACTGGGTTCTCATCTGGCTCCTGTTCATCTATTCCAGTTGTAAATTTTTGCAGAACTTTTAAAAATTTAATTACATTTTGGACTCCAAAACTATGGTTGAAATGTATTCAAAAGCTAATTAGGAGTCTGAAAGGGAGATGGACTGACAGCACGTATCAAGACTGCATTACCTCATTTTCTTTGAAAGCCAGTTTAAGTCAGAGACTAGAAATCTGTATCAAAACTCACATATCGAATGGCAGTCAGAGAACCTGTAAATATTAATCATTGTGAAGCTGAAATCTGCAATGCTAAATACATTACAAATATTATTTCATCCTTTCCATAACATTTAAGGTGGCTGCCACTGACATAAGCCTTTTACTTAGTTGTTACCTGAACACTTCTTGGGTAGCTCGGGGAATAATTCCAAGTTCTGATTCATCTTCTATGGCGTATGGAAAGTTCTCTTCTAACTGTGGTCCCAACATTGTGTATGTCTTCCCACTTCCAGTCTGCCCATAAGCCATGATACACACGTTGTACCTGGAAATCAGAAGGGCCTTCGTTTATTTTACCATTATCAAATGTGTTTGTCAGGTGACAAGTCAAACCCCAGACTATTCGGAAGCACAAACAAAAAAATAAATACACTCCCCTGTAGATTTCTTTCTGGAGATCTCAAAATCTAATAGAAATTAAAGTCCTGCTCATAACATCACCTAAGCAGACTTTCATATTTTAAGCAGAGTTGAAGGGCAGGGAACTGACAAGAGAGGGATGCTTGGCTTGGAACGACTGATGAGGTTAGACCTCCTGTCTGCCCCACTTCCAGTTCAAGCACTACTGAGCTGCTTGTTAATCAGCTCCTGAACCACTGCAGTTTACAGTACAGCATTTTAAAGTAAACCATTGCTGGGTTTGATTTGTCTTACAGTGCTGTGCTGCAAACCACAGTGCACAGCACCAATACCTTAACAGCTGGGAACAGTAAACTCTCCAGCTGTCCTACTCTCTTTTAGGCAGGCTCATCAGCCCTAGCCCTCAGTCACTGGAAAAAAAATAAGACACCCCTAATAATAAGAGGCACAAATATTAAAGCCAAATATATTTGTTCAGTCTAAGCATGCACACAAAGACTACTCTGAAATAAATGTAGTAGGAACTGCTCTGATATGGACTTGGAGAAGCTGGAAATGTACAATGTCACTGCAGAGCTACAGGCACATATGGAACACTATCCCTCAGCTTCCAAAGTAGTCATGTAGAATACATCTAGTGAACAGAAGCCTGAAAATGCCTGTTTCTCTGCTCTGAAAATAAATACATTCATTTTAAAAGACCATAGCTTTGAGGTCTTTTGTGGACTTCTGTGCAGCAGGGATCTGGATTTAGATGTATGAATCCTGTCCAGAAAGTGTTTCTAACATAGCCAGATCAAAGTCAACATCTTAAGCAAAACAAGTGGGCAGATACAAATGCATCCAGCCAGGGTCCTACTTTGTATTGAGGCCTCATGCTGTACTGTGCTGCTGAAACTTAGTCCCTGCTTGGCTGTGTCTGCTCTGCAGGACCTGCCAGCACCTTGGTGTTGACCACAGAGCTGTGCCAAAAACCTCCTGGCAGATATGCAGCTGTGCTGACAGAACTGCTTCACAGACTCATCATAGAATCATAGAATGTCTGGTCTGGAAGGGACCTCCAAAAGTTGTCTAGTCCAACACCCCCACCCCAACAATAAGCAGGGATGTCTCAAACTAGACTATCTTATTTACTCAGAGACACAACATTAGAGGAATCTCCATACACAAGGAGTGCTCTGCAGTATGCTGAAATTTCTGCACTACTAGAGAGACTCAAGAATGGGCTTGCCCCTGTTCTGCCAGGGAGTACAATTTCACTGCCTAAGCCACCCCCTCTGTGGGCAGACCTGAGCAGCTGCTTTTGGTTATCCAATGCTTTTCCCCATATCAAAAATGTCATTTCAAGCACATGCCAGCAAATTTCAATGAACACCCTCATCTAATTGTTTTAAATTTATGGTTTCAAGTCATGGAATACTTACATGGCCATGGCAGAGAAATATATTTGCAGTGATGTTTTTGCATATTAAACATGCTGGAAGCCATTAGTTTTGGAGGATTATTTAGAAAGCCTTGTCTTGTTGGAAAGAAATGGGGGCTGATATGCAACACAGCAAATACCTGTATAGCCCTTCTGGGGATGCAAAATCTAAGTTGCAGCCAACAAATGTCTAGTAAGGTCCCTCCACAGTTCAGGACACACAGTATAAGACAGAAGTCTAGCCATAGATTTGATGAAGTAAAGGAGACGAGATAACTGAAAATAAAGAGAACTACAGCAAAATGAAATGTGCTAGAAATTAGGGCTGTAAATCTGAAACACAGGATTTCTCTAAGTATCCACTGCTGACAAAACTCTACTTGCATTCATGTCAGGTGGAAAGCTCCCACTAATTTTGGTACTTTTCAGCTAGGCTAATATCAACAATTTTCACAGTTCCACCCCTAACATACACTGCCTCACCAGCCTGTAGATTATTGACACTTCTAGCCCCACTTCAAAATCAGGAGGGATCTTTGGAACCAGAAAAGGAGCCAGAATTTTGCAAATAGTAGTTTTCCTTAGGAAAAACAGAATGGATGTCTTTTTAGAAGTCTCTCAAACTTTCTTGTAGTCCATCTATTCAAACTCTCCTTAACTGCTACTTGTTAGCACCATGGAAAAAATAGTTCTGCCAAGATCCAGACCATATGATTAGAAGTTAAGTAGACAGGTGCTTGGAACATTGAAGATACAGATGCAAATCAGGTACCAATCAGTAATAACTTCTTTGACAAAACCAAACCAGTATTTCAGTAAGCCCAAATGAGCTAAAACTATCTGAAGCAGTATTAAATCTAAGTAGGCGCAGGAGAAAATGAATTGTTGGATGATTCTACAAGAAGACAAACAGCAGCAGCAGACTCATTTATATTTACCTAGTTTAATCATTGGTGTTCTAGTTCCAACATAAAGGTTTCAAACAGAGCAATCAGAAAATTTTGGACTATGAATCACCTATGTGCTAATGACTTTTCTCCTTCTCCAAACTGCTTCATTAGCTGTACCCTTGTTTAGAAAAATTCTTATAGTCAAGCTAGAATACTAAGACTTTTTCAGTATTTGTCTCCTGAAAAGAGTGTGGGTGCTCAGTATAGCAAAGTTATGACTAGGAGAGAACACTCTTAAAGGAAATCAAAGGAGGAGAAATGTATGCTTTAAAATAAACAAACAAGTTTGACTCCTCAGTGCTGTAAAGGAAAGAAATGTTATCTTACTCCCCTGCTGGCCCTGTATGGCTCCCTGTAAACTCTGAAGCCTGGAATACTTGGTCCGTTATGCATATGAAGCAATCTTTTCTTCCTGTATATTTATACTGAAAAATGAAACAATTTATTAAGAAAGAAAAATATAGAAAAAAATAAAGGAGTGGAACACTCCTTTTTAGTTAAGCTAAAAGTTGTTACAGACCACTTTGGAGCCCAGACTGAAACAATAAGGACCAGTAAAAAGGTTCAAGGTTCAGACTAAGTGTGTCTGTTTCCCATCTACAATGGGAAGGCTGCTGAGAAACACAGCTCGTGTGCATAGCCTCTCCTTCCCCAAAAATCTGCCTCTGCTTAAGTGGCACTTCTGGAAGAAGGAGATAACTCTTGTTTTCAATAACAGAACGTTTCCTAACTGAGTATAAAAATCCTGGCTTTTAGGAGAAGACTGTCTCAATGTGGAAATTAGACAGTGGAAAGTGCAGCAGCTTTGGGTGATGATCAGATGTGTCTGGAGATAGATAAGCAGGCAACATACTGAGGCAAAGTAAAAGTGCTCAATGCAAAAGGAAAAGCAGAGAGAGAGAAAACAGTGGTTATAAGGACTTCTTCAAACTAACTTCTCCAGCCCAGTGGTCCCTAGGTTGCTCAGCTATTGAAAACTGTGGCTACTCGTCCCTGGTAAACTAGAATAATGTCATACGGGCCATACAGTGCTTCCCTTAGCCCAGGTAGCCCTTGTGCACCTCTGTGCCACGTGTGAAAGGACAGCTCTGATCTCCCAGTACTCACAATATCCTGATATGCCTCTTCTAGGCTGCTTTTAAGAAAAGGAAATGTGGAAACTTTAGTGTGCAGACTGCCAGGAACAAGGATTGCCACTGTTCAACTACGGATGGGGATGGAAATGGAACGGCTTTCCCTCTGCAGAGAGGGAAGAGTCCATGACAGCTCTACAACAACCATCTACGAGTGGAATTAGAGTCAGGGTGAGAAAGAAGCAGAAGGGAAGTTCTGCATAAACCTCAGTTCAAGCCTCAAGGACCATAACAATATGCACTTCAAGGCTTCTTCACAAGAGCAGCGTATGTGAGCTCTACTATAAATGAAGAATCACATGAATCACATTTCATCAACTTAGTGGCTAGAAGGAATTACACAGATTTGTTAGTAGTTGTTACTGATCAGTTTTGTACTCAAACCAGAATTCTGTTTTAAGCCCAGTGCCTGAAGGAGCATTAGAACTACGACTGAGAATGCTCAGTTCTGGTTCAGCCAGGAACTGATGATGCTCCTGTGGTCTGTGCTGTACACAAAGGCAGTACAGCTGATCAAAGAGTAGCCCTGGCAGGCCTTTCCTATATGAACACACTGTATTTTGTACCACATGCTACATGTGTCTACAACATGAAAAAGTTATAAAACATAACCTACCAAAACACAAAAAAACATAGTATCCTCCATTAGAAGCAATGCTTATGTGTCAGAAAGAGATCAGGGAAAAAAAAAAATCCTAAATTTGTCTGCTCTGATAAATTTGGTAAACAGTGTTTTCATTGTTTATATAGCAACCAACATTCACTTGGTGTTGAGTAGGAAGAAAACAGGAAAATGCAACTGCAAAGTCACAAAACCTAACAGAAGCACCATTATTAAGACATTTTATTTTAATTGATGGATTTCAGTAGATTACTGCCCCTTTAGCTTTCTTACTCCCACCTTTTAACTTACCCATCCAGGAGAGATGTTAGCAAAGGGGCCACATCTGCAAAGACTGTGTCTTGAGACTCTGAAGCATTATAAACTCTGAGGAGAAAAGTGCAATGATTAACTGAAGAAAAAAATATAAACATGTTGTTGCAATACAAGAATACAAACTAGGGAAAAAGTAGGTCAGCAACATAAAACCTGTGACCTACTGACATTTCTGTGTCAGGGGACTGAAAATTAGAACTCTTGCTCACTTTTTGGGAGTGGCTGTTGTCTGCACTGGAGGGAACAACCTGCAGGTGTACTCTTGAGGGTCTCTGAGCTCATCCTAAATCCTCCCGCCTGCCTCACTCACAGAAAGAGTAATTTTCAGGCTGTACTGGATCACTGTTATTTTCTCTCACCAATTTGCCCCAGGACTTGTCTCAGGAGAGTCAATGGCAGAGCAGAAATCAGAAGGCCCCTGATGGTCATGTTTAAGGATGCCCTGTCTTTGTGGGTCCAGGGTA